GTGTTATGTTCATTGGCTTCTTCAAGTTTTCAGATATGAATTATTTGTGATTTTTCTTTCAGCAGATTTATCATAGACAGCATAACGCTTATCCTTGTTTAACACACTGCCAACTTCTGTAAAGAATTGTTGCAGCAAAATATTTAAATATTGCTGCGCAACTGGCACCTGAATGACATAAAAATGGCCATCTTTTTTATATGTGTAAATGGAATGTAAGGAAAGTAAAATTTGCCTTTTCATTTCTGAACCGCGTTCTAGTAGTTTGACTTAGAAAGTCCTCCTCGAAGGCACCCTCCCTTAAGGCAGATAGCCCTCGAGTGTTCTAATTAATCTAATAAAACCAAAAAAAAAATCTAGTAGTATGAAGCGCCCATGACACAATTTACTTGTCTAATTTTATTTATAATTGCATATATCAATTTCAATATTACTTTTAACATTATTTTTTTTTCTTACACAAAATACTTTCCTATTTGCGGACACATTTTACACTGTTACCTTAAATTGGAAAGTCTAAATAATATGCTGAACAAAGGAGGAAAAGTAAGCGAGGGGGAGAAATAAGCAAGTAAATATGATAATTAGTCAACACAAATGGAAAAAAAATTAGTTTAAATTCATATTTTTGGAAACCAAAGTAAAACTTTATAGAGTTCTCAAAGTTAGACAACATTGGAAAATTGCTTCTCTAAAGCTGTGAAACAATTTTGAATTATTAAATTTTGCGTTATCAATACTAATAATGAAAATTATAAAAAAATCTGACTGAAAGGTTTTAGTCTTTGAGCTCGCTCTATCAGTCTGTTGTTACACTCACTCTTACTAACTTTTTTGTGTGTGTGTGTGTGTGTTTTTAGCAATATTTGCTTCGACTTACGCCATATAAAACTCAACAGCAAAATTACAAAAATTTTAAGAACAGCACAGCAGTATGCGTCTAAAATTAACGACGCAGGCTTTGTCCCTGAAGGACTATTGTTTTAATTTTGCGATTTTGCGTTGAATCACCATAAATGCCCGTTCCTGCATTACATTTAAAGAAATTAAATAATGAAAAATCTGCATAAATGTATGTATATTTCTCGCATTGTGATAAAACAACGATTCATAGAGCCATCGAATTTTGAATGACGTAATATGGGCATGTAGAAGACCACATTTGAAATTTGGAATTTGTCTTATTATTGGTTTCATATTTTGTAAAACTTTAACGAATTTTTGAGTAACAAACTCGACGATTTAAAAGCGAGCAATGGCAACACTCTACGGGGGAAAACTAAAATCTTTTTATCTCCAGCGGACGCGGAACTGTGTATCGGAAATTCTAAAGATAGGACCATTTTAAAATTATTTTGCGACATTGCTACTGAACTGAATTTTATAGTTTAAGTGATATTTAATAAATAAATGTAACACACAAAACGTTAAAAAAACGCCTCTTTAGACGTAATTTAAAATCTGAAACCTTTCAATTTTTTTTTTAAATATGATTTATTTTAGTTTTTTCTCAGTTTATCATACCAATGCTCATTCATTTTATAATGATTATACAATAAATGTTTAATGAATCGTATAATGAATATTTAGGTACTAATATGATTGATTTAATGGCTTAATAATACTTAGCTTGGGAAATATATTAAATTTTGCATTTCCATCAACATTTGAATTCAAAAAAACTTCAGTCATATCATATAGAATCATTGCATTTCTAAGTATTTAATGAATACTTAGATTGGGAAATATATTAAATTTTGCATTTCCATCAACATTTGAATTCAAAAAAACTTCAGTCATATCATATAGAATCATTGCATTTTTAGTGAAAAATGTAAAGTTATTATGTTAATTTTATTTATGATTTAAAAATAAATCAAAAGTTAAAAAAATATTTCGTTATGACTTTAATACATATGCGTTATGCTTAGTGTTAAAATGCAGTGGGTGCTTACACATTTTTAGAATATCGATAAAGAATTTTAAAAAAAGCGAATGTTTGGAATAAGAATTTCTGGCAGGCGCTTATTATTTGAAATGAGAAATATCGTCAGCTGCTTTTAAATTTATTCTTCTTTCAAACTGTTGCATCTGAAGAAGCTGTGGATTATGTTTCTGCTCTTTCCGAAGAGAAATATTCCAATTCCATAATTCAAAACCGATGTAAAATACATGGTGTTAAAATTTCTAAGTGTAGAATAAACAACATTATTAATTGGGAAAGAAAAAAACAATCATTGCTGAAGAAGACTCCAAACGAAAACCGAGATACGTACGTACTGTCTCTAATGTTTCTAAAGTTAAATCATTGGCAAGAAAAGAAATTTCGCCGACGCAGAAATCAATTGCATAGTTTTTAGATACATCTGTAGCAATAATAAATAAACCAAGATTTATGTCTTGAAAAAGCTAAAAACCACAATGTTCACTAGCTTTTGCCAAGGCATGCGGTTTAAGGCAGAACAATTTGTAGAACCTTGTATGAACCTATGTACTATTTAGCAGGAGATAAATGGAAATACACTTGATGAAGCATGGATTTACCTAAACGACTGAAGCAAAAAAAGTTCTATTATCGAAAACGAAGAGAAAAACATGTACAAACTGATTCCGTTAATGCAAAGAAAGTTTTAGTAAATTCTTTATGATTGTCAGAAGAATTTATAAGGTATTTTTCCCGCCTTCCTGGAGTGCCTTCGTGGTGTAGTGGTCAGCCCACTAAGCCGGTACTTCAGAGGTCCGTGGTTCGATTCCCTGCGAAGGCGACTGCTAATTTTTTATCTCATCTGCTTCCCCCCCAAAAAAATACGCCTAATATCTGTACAGTGGCGCCCAAACTAAAAGGATTGTGGACGATGATTCTCCACACCCAGGATTTGGCGAATGGGTCCTCTAAAAACCTCAATCGCCCTTTAAAAGGGGGAGTATATAAGGAATTTCTCCCGCCTTCCTAGCGCACCTTCGTGGTGTAGTGGTCAGCACACTGAGCCGGTATTTCAGCGGTCCGTGGTGCGATTCCGGGCAAAGACTACTGCTAATTTTTCATCTCGTCTGCTTCCAAGTAATAAAAAAAATACCTAATGTCTCTACAGATTGATTGTATTACAGAGATTCCATTTCTTTATTCCAGTGACCTTCAAAGAGTAAAACTTCGTCAAGATAAAACAACAAGTCTTACTTTGAAAAGTACCACTGCCTTCCTCGAAAAAATTAAAACTGATACATTATTGCTCATGTCAAGTTATTCCTGCGAAGTTCCCTGAGGTTTCAGCTGTGGGCTATTGTGCATTTGGTCTCTTAAAAAGAGCTCTAAACGCAAAACCACTAAGATTGCAAAAGCAACATGTTTCAAATCGAAAAGTACCACTACATTCCTCGAAAAAATTAAGACTGATACAGATATCGCGTATGTACCTATGTACTTATTTCTGCGCAGTCCCCTGACGTTTCATCTGTGGACTATTGTGCCTTTGGTCTCTTGAAAATAGCTCATTCTAAGCGCAAATCCACCACGATTGATGGACTCCGGAAAGTAGTGGAATTTTACGAAGCGCCCTTCTGTCATGGAAATCATGATGCACACTTATAGTCCAGAAAAAAGGCTATCAGATCGAACATTTAAAAATGTGCTCTTTTCATTTCAAACATAAATTAAACGCTCCGAAATCATTATAAAAATGTGTAAACCCTTTCTGCATTTTATGAATTAAGCATAGAGTAAGAAATAATAAGTAGGTCAGTTTTGATCAATAGTTGCAGTTACAGTTAAGTCATCAGTAAAGACATCAAATTGCAGCACAGGCAGTTTTTAGTTTTAATTTCTTTACTCCTCTCCTACTTTAATAAAAAATCCTTAAAATTTTATTAAAAAAAAAGTTATTTACAGTTATTAGTTATATATAGCAGTTTATAAAATTCTTTTCCCTATTTCTCACTATTTAAAAAAGATTCAGTAAATTATTTGAAAAATGCACTCTTACTTTTACATAATTTAAAGATTATATTGTATTAGCAATGTTTAGTTTTTCAGATACCTTTTTTTAAACTGAAATAGTAAAAACAGTGTAAAATTTTGAAATACCATTTATCCGAAAATGAAAGTAAACTATTTTGAAAATTCTATTACGCTTCTTATCTTTTATTTTTCTTTCAGATATAATCCTTTGGGAAATTATTTGAATTTAATGCAATACTTAAGGTCGAAAATACTATAAAAGTTATTTACAGTTATTAGTTATATATAGCAGTTTATAAAATTCTTTTCCCTATTTCTCACTATTTAAAAAAGATTCAGTAAATTATTTGAAAAAAATGCACTCTTACTTTACATAATTTAAAGATTTATATTGTATTAGCAATGTTTAGTTTTTCAGATACCTTTTTTTAAACTGAAATAGTAAAAAAACAGTGTAATGTAAAATTTTGAAATACCATTTATCCAAAAATGAAAGTAAACTATTTTGAAAATTCTATTACGCTTCTTATCTTTTATTTTTCTTTCAGATCCTTTGGGAAATTATTTGAATTTAATGCAATACTTAAGGTCGAAAATACTATAAAAGTGTATTTTAAAACTATCAAAATATATTTTAAAGCAATTTCATATTTTCATAAAATAGATTGTATAATAGTAATGAGTAATACTGCTCAGTTTTTTTTTTTTTTTTTTTTTTTTTTTCCTTCGTAAAATTACAACGCTTTCTCTGAAAAATTACAATGCTAGAAAAGTCTTCAGAAATTAACATTAAAAGCGAGAAAGCCAAACGTAGAAGAAGGAGAAAAAAATCAATCTATTCCAACTGCATTTCAAACAATACTGCTAATTTCTTGGCGAACGCTTTCGAATTTTGTACAATTAACGAATGCTAAACAGATACAATTATCGCAGCGTAACAATATAGTTCCCTCCAGCTACACTGACCGACGACGAAGCACGGCCCCAATTTTTCCGCGGATGAATACAGATCTTTCACTGAACGCAGCGACTCAAAGCAGACAACCGAAGGAAAACAAGGCGGTCCTAGCAGTGGCCGCCATGACAGTCGATAGAGTAGCTTTCTGCGACGGCCGATCTTCTAAAACAATGCTATTTTCACTATGTTTGCCTCCGTGTTTGAAAACCAAATCTTGAAAGAAGAAACATCATGTCTGAACGGATGTTTTTCCTTCTGATTTTTCTATACGCCGTCGCAGGTGAGTTTAGTTTTTCTTTACGCGAAAAATCATCTGATCCATAGAAAAGGGGAGGGGTATGGAGAGCGCGTGAAACAGTAGTGGTGTTATTTTCCCTGCAATACAATTCTTTCAAGAGTAAATTGGGAATTTTGAGAGGATTCCGTTTCGCATTCTTTAAAGATTTCGCATTAGTAACATTTAAAATTTATATATTACAAAAAATATGGCTGAATTTGTTTTGGTATTTAATATATCTTCTAAAACTGTTCCGATCTGAGAAATTTTTCTGTAAAAACATTGTGGTTTATTTATTCTTTTCTTTCCATCTTAAACTGATACTTGTTTTTATGAGTTTGAATATTACAGATAAGAACAATATAAAAGCACATGTCAATATTATTTTATTCTTATAGTACTTTAAAAACATTTCATTTAGTTTAGATATTTAAAGCTAAAATTAGTAAATAAATTACGTAATTAAAATTAAAATATAACTACGATTGTAAGGAATAATTTGGATTCGGGGAGGGGAGAAAAAATCAATCTGTCTCAAACATAAAATATTTTTCTGTGAATTTAAATATTTCTCTTTGTTACCATGAAATTTAGTATATAAATTCTGCAATGTACTAAGAAAAATACTTACTTACTCTCTCTGTATATATATAATAAAAAAACTATAAATTATTTCAAGCTTTATTCTAAAATATCATTTTTTACTGCACGAAATATGTATAATTTTTTTATTGTATCAAACCATATTTTACTGATATTTTCATTCGTGAATCTAAAAATAACTCTCCTAAATTTTTTTCCCATGCTTAAGTGCTACAGCATTATTTGGCCAAAGATTAATTATTAATTAGTTATATATTTATTACACTCTGTATACTTTGTAATTGATGCTAAAATGTCTTTATAAAATATTTTTAAAAACATGTATTTTGATTTTATAAGTAACTTGTTAACAGGTATAATAAGTAAGTTAAAGCACTTAATATATATGCAGATTTTTTGCTTGGTTACTAACTTATACTTTTGGAAAAAATCCGCAGTTCTGCCATCTTATGACTATTTTTTTTTTTTTTTTTTTACCTTCTATTTTTAATAGGATATACTGGAATGTTCTTTAAACATTTCTGTGTAAGTGGATTGCTTTAATGTTTCTAGATATGTAAAGAGTGACGGGTATATAAAATCAGCATCCGTATTAAATGATTGTTAGAAAAAGCTATAGCTAAAAATTATTGTTACCTAAATGTGAATGTACAAATAAAGAAAATATTTATTTCCAAAAAATTAGGCTGAGTTGATAGAAAGATCATAACATTGGGACCCCGCTAAAATCGCAAATATGAAAAACCGTTATTCTGAAAAAATTGTAGTTAAGGGTGGACATTTTAGAAAAACAGAGATGGGAAATTTACACAGTAGCTCTTTTATACGCGTGTCTATCTTTTGGCATAATGAAAACATTGAACATTTGACCTGCAAAACACATTTAGGCGAAAACAGGAAAAGAAGAAAGATGCAGGACTTTCACCCGATGCAAGTCAGAACTCTTCTGTATTTTCACATTTTACTTCATTTAAAACACTAGCCGCGCGCGCAGCTAGCCGCCTCTAAAAATTGTTATTGTAAAAAAAAAAAAAAAAAATATATATATATAATAATTTTAATGATTCCAGTTAAAGTAATATCACAAGTACAACTAGTAATTAACAATAAGGGAGATGAGAAATCGCATTTATTAATTTTAAACCCTCAGTTTGTTGATCAATAACATATAAATTAAATATGAAAAAAGAAAAAAAGTCTGAAAGCTTTCAGATTTTACAACGTTTTTCTAACGTTTTCTATGTTACCTTTATTTATTAAATATCATGTTCTTCGCACTTAAACCATAAAATTCAATTCAACAGCAATAACGCAAAATTATTTTTAAATGAGCATATTTTGAGAATTTTTTTTTTTTTTTTTTTTTTTTTTTTTTTGGTACAGTGTTTCTATTTTCTCGCTTTGAAATCGTTGAGTTTGTTAGTCAAAAATTTTGTTAAAGTGTTACAAAATAAAACAAATTCCAAATTAGGGCTTCCAGATGCCCATATTCAGTGGAGGATTACGTTATTCAAAATTTGATGACTCTAGTTACCGTTGTTTTAATACAGTGCCAGAAACATACATACATTTATGCATATTCTTCATTATTTAATTTCCTTAAACGGAAATAATATTTGGTGGCAACGATTTGAAAAGTGAAACTGGCATTTAAAGTTTTCAACGCGAAACGCCAAAACAAAATTAATACCCCTTCTGGGCTAACGCCCTTTCGACTAAAAAATAAAGTATTTTACGCTTTGCCGAATGACAATAACCGGCGCTTGGAAGATAAAAACTAAATATTTTATTTTGCACAGTCGCAACACGAAGTCTGTTTATTAAATTTGAAACATAAATCTCTTACCTTTTGCCGAGTGGCATAACATTTTCTTTAAATCGCGTTGTTTCCTCATTAAACCTGAAACTTATATATCTTATGATTTGCCGAATGGCAAGGCTTTGCTTTTAAATCGCTTAGTTTGTTAATCAAAATTTCATTACGTTCGCACAAAGAATACAAGAAACAAGTTCAAAATTCAGTATTCGGCTCAGTGCTGAATATGTTCGGGTAGAGAACTTCAAGATGTTCATAGGCTGGTGCTTTTTCCCCCAATGCTAGGAACATGCATGCATACATACAGAAGAATTCTGCATTATTTAATAACAGTGAGGATTTTCCTCTGTTTTTTGTATATTTCTATCATTTCAATTGCTCTCAAATATTAAAATAGTGTTTTAAATAAATTAGTAAAACTTTAAAATGCATTTTTTTCTCTGCTTAGGGGGGGATAAGATATTTCTGACAATATTGCGTGCAATGTAGAGTTTCCATAGCATCAAAAAAAACATAACTAAAGCACTTCATTCTAAAATAATTATCTCACCGACGTTTGATAATGTATTTAACTATTTCTTTAACTATATAATAGTTTAGCTACTCATATGTTTGATCACCACAATGCATTATTAGCTTTTCGTTTAAAGAAAGGAATAATAAAAATAATAACTCTTTGATTCATATTAAATTAAACGTATTTAACTACAGAAAGAATAAGAAATTGTCTCTTTCCCCCCCTTATAAATATTCTTCCAAGGTAAAATATATTTTGCATACATATTTTGCATATATTTTGCATATATATATTTGCAAGATATATATATATATATATTACGATATACATTGTTATTATTCATATCAAAGAGAAATTTTGGGAATTATCTTCGATATATCAACCAATTCAAGCACGGACATGTCAAAAGATAAGTCGATTTGTTCTTCCAATCGGATCATGTGCTTCACCAGCGCCACCTACAAGCTTTTACTTGTTTCACCGTAATTCGATCGTATTATAAGTTTTAGGTATAAACTAGTTAAATTGATATTAAATGCGTTTGCTATGTAACTGTATCAAAAATTATTGGAAATCCTCTTATCCTTTCTGAATGTAGAATTTGCATTATCTTTATTACTCTGTTGTAAGGCTCGTAAGAGAAGTATATCAATATTATGGTAAATACATTTTATGTACATCGAGAAAGAAGTTTTCCGTTTTACATTTAATATAGTTCGAATTTTCTTTTAATTTACAAAGTAAACTGAAGTATCCAAAGACGAAGATTATCACGATTTGGAATGCGCTTGAAACAATGTACGCTAGCTTAATTTAGTTAGAAATTTTTTAAAAAAGTAAGTAAAGGGCAGTAATAAATAAAAGCCTTAGAGATTTAAACTGTTTTAAAAAGTTAATGAAAGCAGTTGCAACTTCTTATATTTTATTTATTTCTGAAGTAAGCACTGATTGACAGGATCCTCTGATTTTTCAAACAAACTCTGCAACTTGGAATTGTTTACATCCAAATATTCTTACTTGTTGAGGTTATTATTTTACATCTAACTAAACATTAGGATAAAAATATACTATCAAATAAGTGGTTCTGAAACGACAAAAGCATTCCCAAATTATGACAAAGCAAGTAGAAACATAGTTCGATTTTACGTTTTACAAATTGCGCTTTTATCGAAGAGAATTATGATTGTTGAAAACATTTTCATATATTTGAATTCGATAATAATAACTATATGCTTTATAATTTGATTTCAGACATGCACTTGCAATTCAGCACTATTAGTAAGAGGGTCTTGTAGTTTATTCGTTATTGGAAGTACAAGTGAGAAATAAAATCCACAGCCATTCTTTTTGAAAACACTGTATATAACGTTTCTTAGAACAGTACCCGGCATTTGTTTTTACTTCCTTGTACGAAGTAAAAAGGAAGTATTGTAATCGCGAAAAGCTTCAGGCAGCATATTTCAACGAAAATATCCAATTTGACCGCTTTTGAATGCAATTTAACGATTTTTTGTTTTGATATCTGTGCGTATCTGGACAGTAATAAAAAGACTCTTTCCTTCCAAAAAAAAAAAAAAAAAAAAAAATAAAAAAACTGTTTAAAATAAAAAACTGTTTTAAAATGAATTCTGAAGAGAATTTTTCGTGGCGTCTGTTACGTACGTATCGTATAACTCAAAAACGAGTAGCCTCAGAACGTTGAAATTTCGTATATAAGATTACTATAACATGTAGATGTGCACCTCGTATTTTGGTTTCAATCGGCCGCGCCAAACGTTTATAAATATATTTATAAATATATCCACTCTGTTACCCGGCTCAGTGATCTCAGTTTCTTTACTCTTATATGTTTGTAAATTTTTTTTGCTTTAAAAATGATTGAATTATGTTGTTTTTATCTTCCGGTTAAGGGCTTTATGCCTTTAGTAAATCTGTATGCAATATTTTTAGAATTATAAACATTTTAAAATTGTTTAAGTGCCGCTAAGCCTAATTTGATGGCGGCCATTGCTCTTGTTGTTACATTTGAAAAAGCTGCGGATAGCGGATTTGTTGCCAATCTAGAGA